CACCAAGCCCAATATAGTCCAAGACCAGTTAGACTCTTTGCTTAGCCACGTCATCAAGGGGGAGAGCATGGGAAGTTCTATCTGCACCACCAAAGGAAACGGTCCACTCTCACGTCATTTTTGACCGCATCTCATGGAGAGCTCCCCAACCTCCTCGCCCGTTGAGAAGAAATCGTGAGCTCCACCAGAATAATCTTTTAGTTGTTGTAAAGTAGCCCCAATCTGTTAGGGGACTACTATAAATTGCACGCCCCATCAACACTTGAGGGGCATGAGACTGATTGCCTGGCACCACACCTTCCTTGATTCTCTATTCTCCCTTGAAGCTTGTATTCTCTATCTCCATACCCCTAAATTAATAAAGTACTCGACAATGAAAGTCATTCAAGAGTGGACGTAGGTCGAGTTGACCGAACCACTATAAATCTTGTCTCTTCCAATTCTCTCTTTACATTTAGTGCATTTATTATTTATACTTGACAGGTGGTGTTCAAAACCATTTTTGTGCATCATCATATATGATTGGTTACGAGTGCTTCGATGATGTTAGATATTTCTATTTTCCAACGATTATCTAAATGAAAAAGAAAATGTTATGCATACTAAAAGTTTTACCAAAAAGTGTTTTTACCAAATGAGTTAGTAGTTTCATATCACTCGTGGACCTACCAAATGCTGATCAAAATATTTTTGATTGGATATTGAGTGGTCAACTCATTTGGTAAAAATATTTGTTGGTAAATTTTTTGGTAATCATAACATTACTCCATGAAAAATACCCTCCGTTTCTTGGAGAAGGAAAGAGAAATGTGCATTATAGTCTTGAGTGCTCATGCAATGTTACTGGTGTTGAATTTAGGGTGCTGGCAGAGAAGAAGAATGTAGCTATGCACTTATGGGGTTTGTGTAATGTATCAATTGTTGGAGACAATATTCAATAAATAACGGTGATACAATCTCATTAGTGACACACAGTATCACCAATTAATTATAAAATATTATGTGAACATTGTTGATTTCACTATTTTAATAGTTATCAATAACCACCACATTGAATAATTAACACGATAAAATAGTAAAATATCTGTTATACTGTGTTGAATATTTTATTATCATTGGTGATAAAACGTGTCGAATGAAATCCGTTAGTTGATCTTTTAAGAAGAGTCGTGTCTTTTAAAAAAATACACCTATTTAAAAATTTCATTTCTTTTGAGAAAGATACATCTTTAAAATGGTCATAACTTTTAAAGAAAAGACACTTATTTAGAGGGTTGTAACTTTTAAGAAAATACACTAAAAAATCCATAAATAGGTCTTGAGTTTTATATAACTCATATCTCTTTTTCCTTCTTTCTCTATCTCTCAAAATAAAAACTGTTTAAGGAAATTTCTTCAATGTTGCTAATTGCAGTTTTTCACCAAAAAACTTTGTTATATCCTGGAAGTGATTTTTCAAAAACCCTTTTTTTAAGTGGGGACAAATATCACTTTAAAGAAAACGATCTTACGCATCTCAAAGCTTTAATTCTATTTTATTTTCAATCTGCATGACCCAATTTCGCAACATATCATATATATCTCTAATAATGCCTTCATTCTAGGAAGATTAATGAAGGCAAAGTGTTGCAATCAAAATGGAGTTGACTACTCACTGTGAAGATCAGCACTATTGTTGTACAGAAACCAAGGCCGACGGGCAATAGTTCTAGTCAGAGCCCATATATGATCAGGCACTACTATAAATGAATTAGACCATCACACGGTGTTAATCTATCATTAAAAGAAATTTAGAAATATGTATCAGAAAATAGGATTTAATTGCAAGACTCTATCTCATTTTGGTCTTTAATGTTATAATTATATCACATTAGTCATTGATGTATTGAATTTGTATTTAAGTGATCCCGTGTATGATGTTGTCTAAATTTTTAATGGTTTTTGTTTGTGTGCTTCCTACGTGCCTACAAATGAAATGTATATTGGATAATTACAGCCTACTTGACCTAAAAATTGTGACAGTAGTCCCCAAAAATATGCACTTCATCTCATTTTAAGTGGTCTTCACGCATGATATTGTCCAGATTTTTAATAGTTTCTCTCCATGTACTAGCCATGTGCTCCAAAATGAAGAGTATATTGGACAAATCATTGTCAATTTCACCCAAAAAAAAAATAAAGTGTTGTTTCTGGAAGGAAACAGTTCCACTAAGGTCCAACTGCCTTGGGATTGTGTTGTTCTCTCATTTTAGTTTGTAGGTGGTGAGTAACAAGAAGAAAAAAACAGTACAAGAAAGGAAATTTACAGCCACCTTGCATTGATAGTACGCAAAAAATGTCCCTACTTGTATTGTTCTGTTCTTGTAACTTATTGTTTGCAACTAACAAAAGGGAATAACATAAACCCCACAATAATTGGCCCTTAGCATAAATATTTCTCTCTAGGAACATTACTCTTTTTTGGGTGAAGTAGACAATGGTTTTGTCCAATATACCCTTCATTTTAGGGCATGTGACTAGCACATGGGGGAGAAACTGTTAAACATTTAAACAATATTATGTGTAAGGACCACTTTAATAATATTTTTAATACATTAGGGACTAATGTGATACTATTAAAATGGTGGTGGATCAAAATGAGATGGAGAGTATACTTTGAGGACCATTAACACAATTTTTGGGTCAAGTATGTAGTGATTTGTCCGATATATTTTTCATTTTGGAGCAAGTGGGAAAGTACATAATCAAAAACCATTAAAAATTTAGACGGCATCATACATGGGGCCTCTTAAAAATAAATTTAACAAAATAGAAATTAATATGATATAATTATAATGTTGGAGACA